GTGTTAAACAAGTGTCAAGGTCCATTAACTCCAACTGGTACTAGGATTTTGGAAGCAAACACAACACTAGCTAGTAAGTATCATGCACGATGGAATGGGGGACAAAAGTATCAGGTTAAAGGTCCATGGAATGATCAACATGTGGTGGACATGGAGAAAAGGGAGTGTAGTTGTAGAAAGTGGGAGCTTACTGGAATTCCTTGCAAACATGCTATTGCAAGCCTAAATGAAATGGCAGACAACAATGAAAAGGTAGGAGAACTATACACCTATGTGCATAAGGTGTATTGGCTTGATACATGGAAAGAGATGTACTCCTTCAAGGTGGAGCCTATCAAAGGTAGAGCCATGTGGCCTAAGAGTGACTGCCCAACAACTCTTGTGCCTCCACCACACAACAAAGCTATAGGCAGGCCAAAAAAGAAAAGAAGGATTACAGCAGAGGAAAGGATTGAAATCCAGCAACGTAAGAGGCAAGCAAACAGTCAAAGTCAAAATGATAATGAAACTCAATCACTGAGCAGGAAGTTTTTGACTGTGACATGTAGTAAGTGTAAGCAAAAGGGTCACAATGCCAGGACCTGCAAGGCCAAAGATGGGAATTGATGTTTAAGTACTTTTTATGTTTGTCAAGACTTGTTAATGCACTTTAGTTGGTACTTTGTTGCCTTTTTTTGTTCCATTTTGATAATGTACTTTGATGCCCTTTTGATAATGTACTTTAATGCCCTTTGTTGGTAATGATTGTGTTTTGACATTTATCTGTTATGGTCCCCTTTTAGTAATGTTGTTTGTTATTTGTTTATGTTGTACTGTCAAAGCATGAAGATGTTATGGCAATGTACTTAATGTATGCATATAAAACCATTACAATTGCATATTCAAACGTAGAGAAAAACCATTACACTTGCATATCATGTCAAGATCAAACCTTTATAATTTCATATTCATAAAAGGATAAAACCATTACACTTCCCATTGTCATAAAAAGCATTACATATACAATGATCCAAAAGATAACACTTTTAAGTGGTTACTACCAACAAAAACATATATAAACCACAATTAAACCTTCTAGCACCAAAAGACAACATTTTTAAGTGGTTACTACCAACAAAAAAGTCCTAACCTCTAATTCCTATTTCCAAAACAGCACAAACAACAGAAACAAAACCCACGAGACAAGCAAACACATCTTCAGCTGGCCCACTTCAACCTCATACCTATTCATTGTTCTCAACAGTCCTGGTATGATAACAGTTGATCTTTGACACATAGGGGGATCGAACCACCCCAAAAATGCACATCTGGATCCCTACAAGAATACATTAAAGTAGAAGAGTTATTGCATAACTACCGAAATATCATAACCTAATATGAGTTTGCTTACCATTTTAGGGCATGCATAGAAACGACGACCAGGGTTTCGTGAAGTCCATGAGGTTCGCACAACAACAACATTCCCACAGAAGCAGAGCACCATTTTTGAATCTCGTAGCAGTAGAAGTAGACGAGAGACGAAGAAGAAGAATCCTTTGAGAGAGGAAGAAGAAGAGGAAGAGGATTGCTTCTCTGTAAATAAAAATGAAGAAGAGGAAGAGGATTGCGTATGAGTATGTATATAAAGGAGAAATATGATATTATTTAAAATAAGTACCTAAAATGACCAAAATGCCCTCAATGACGGAATGGACTAAAAACCCAAGAAAACCTTGATTTTGGACCTTTGGTGCAAGCTGGAAACTATTTTGGACCCCATCCAAAGGTTTTGGCAAACCACAATGACCAAATTTGCAGTTTTGTCTATATATATATATATATATATATATATATATATATATATATATATATATATATATGTTTACTATCTTATAAAACAAATCCCACTATTTCTAAAAATAGATTGAATAAAATAAAACTATTTTTTTAAGACGTCGAAATCATTAAGCTAATTGTACAACTAATCACTAATAAAATAATATTAAAATTTAAACAAACTCCTATAAATCTTTTCTTCCAAGATTGTGACCAGATCTTTTTTCATCCAAATAAATACTCAACACCCTATAATTGGTCATTTCATGATTTTTCTTTATTTTTAATATGACATGTTTCCTAAAACAAACTAATGTTTGAATTGAAAATAATCATTCTCTATCGAAAAGAAATTAATTGTCGAAACAAACTATTTTTCGTCCGCCGCTTTGCGCGGGTAAACGGCTAGTATATATATATATAGTTTTTATTTTTTTTGATAAAAAATATGTTCTAAAAGTTGAAAAATAAAGATTGGTTCCTTGGTTGATTAAGGTTCTCTATTTAACCTCACCATATATATATATATATATATATATATATATATATATATATATATATACACACACACACACACACACACACACAGCCAAATCACTATCAACATATTTGGCTATTCGGAGTGAGAAAGAGGAGAAGAATAGAGAGATAGATAGAAGGAAACGTCTTCAAGTGTGATACATACCATGCTTAATTATAGTGACAATGACGCCGGCTGCGCTACCCTCGAGGTGGTGTTCACGTCAATATGCCCAACTCCGGATAGCCTTATCATATAAGGGAAAACTGCAATAAAATCTTTACATATTGGCTTAATAATCGAATTAGTCCCTATAAATATTTTTTATTCAATTAAGTCTCAAATACTAATAATCGTATTCAAATTAACCATTTGATCCGGTCAACAGATCATCCAACTTTCAAAAAATACATTTTTTTGCCCATATTTCAAAATTTATTACAAATTTGGTCAAAATTTTACACTTTTGGCCCATATTTTAAATTGTGTTACAAATTTGGTCCAAACCTTACCCTTTTTGCCCAAAATTTAAAATTTTATGATGAATTCATCATAAATTTAGTTTTTTTACAACTATTTTCTCAAAGAATTGTTACTAATATATTCTTTTCTTTATAAAATCATATTTATACAAAAAAAAAAACGTATTTTCACTTAAAATATTATATTTTCTATATAAAAAGTTTTTTGTATATGAAATATCTAGTTATAAAAATAAGTATTTATTAAGTATATAAATATATATAATTATGTTTTTATAAAAAAATGCATACAAACACCTTTTTTATCTATATATATATATTTTTTTATAAAATCATATTTGTTTACATTTAAAAAAAACGTGTTTGAATAATTTTGGTACATAATACGTGTTTGTATACATTTTATAAAATGTATTAAAACACGATTTTATAAAATATATACAAACACGTATTATATAAAAAATATTCAAACACGTTTTTATAAAATGTATACAAACACGATTTTATAAAATATATACAAACACGTATTATATAAAAAAATTATTTAACCACATTTTTATAAAAAAATCTAAACAAACACAATTTTATAAAAAAAAATATAGATACACACCTATTTGTGTCTATATATATATATATATATATATATATATATATATGATATGTGTTTGTATACATTTTTTTTTGTGAAATACGGTTTTTTATACATCTTTTTATAAAAACGGATTTGTATATATTTATATACTTAACAAACATATTTTTTTATAACTAGATATTTCATATACAAAAAACTTTAAAAAAAAATGTTTTTATATAGAAAATATAAGATTTTTATGTGAAAATATGTTTTTTATTTGTATAAATATGATTTTATAAAGAAAAAACATATTAGAAACAATTTGTTTTAGAAAAAAAGTTGTAAAAGACTAAAGTTAGGATGAATTCACAATAAAATCCTTAAATTTGGGGAAAAAGGGTAATGTTTGGATCAAATTTATAACAAAATTTAAAATCTGGGCCAAAAGTATAAATTTTGGATCAAATTTAAAATAAATTTTGAAATATGGACCAAAATTGTAATTTTTGAAAGCTGGATGACCTATTGACCTGGTCAAAGGGTTAAATTGAATACGATTACCGATATTTTGGATTTAATTGAATAAAAAAAAAATATAGGGACTAAATCGATTATGAGGCTAATATGTAGGGATTTTATTGCAGTTTTCCCAATCATATAATTACAAAATGATTGGTGTGTGTTTCTAAATAAACATAAAATAATAAATTTAACAAGATATAACATTTGGAATTCTATTTTGGATATATATTTTTTACATTGGTGTGGCCTTTAGTCAAACATGCTTTTAAAGGCAAGATTTAAAATAGTTAAATAATAGAAGTTTGGACTTTAGGGGTGTTTGAATATATAGTTTTTAGCTTATTAGCTTTTTGTTTATTTGCTTATTGCGGTGGGAATAAACATTTTTTTTTTTATAATCTGTTTGGATTAGCTTATTGCGGTGGGAATAAACAATAAGCAATAAGAATGTTAAGTGTTTGGCAAACAAATCAGCTTATATCAGTAAAATGACCAATAAACAATAAACAATAAGCAATAAACATTCCCTCCATTGCTTATTAAAATCAACTTATTTTGCTTATTCCTACCGCAATAAGCTAATTTTTAAAGATTCTATCCAAACACTTAAACTTGCTTATTGCGGTAGGATTAAGCAATAAACAATAAACAACTTATTTTTTTTCCTATCCAAACACCCCCTTTTATCGATTTGATCTATTTATTAAATTACTTGTATGACCAACCCTAAATATCTTGGTATGTATGCTATAGTATTTTAACTTTTTTTTTCTAATAACTAGCAAAATGTTAATTTTAGCAATCTAGCGATGATGGTTATGGTTGTCAAATCGGGTAGTCGTGTCGTGTTTTTGTCTGACACGACTCGACACAATAATGTTTTGTATAACATGAACACGATACGATACAATGTCGTGTTTTTTTTTATTAACACGAAAACGAATAAATTAAAACACGACAACACGACACGACACGACAAAGATAATATTAAATAACTATTAGTGTATTTCATTCATACTTAAAGATATATAACACGATAAAAATGACAAATACGAAAAACTCGACAATCACATGCTTAATCGTATCGATTTATGACACGAACACGTCACGATATCGTGTTTTTTAATCTTGGCAAGAACACAACACTAAAACAAATTAGAATTTTAATTTCCTCCCGATTTCGTTTTCATTTAGTTTAGTGATTTTTTTTGTTGTCCTCGTCATGACACCATACTCAATTGAAAAACCACAGGAACACAAATCAAGCATCGGAAAAACACATGAACACACATCCAGAAGAACAACTCCCACGTCTTCAATTTTTTAAATATCTTTGATCTTGACTGTGGTGAAATTGGTGCTCAAACTCAAAATCAAGCATCAGAAACTTCATCGGGAGATAAAATTGAGAATTTAGCACTTAAAGCGAGATTAAGAAAAGTTAAGATCTTCAAAGAGTACCAATCCTTATCAATTACGCATGTTAGCTCTTCCTAAATAGTCCCAATCGCTTAGTACTCTTCTTGCTTGAAATTGCTAAGTGCCAAAAAAAATTACATCTTTCCCGTATCAATTTCAATTCGAAGTAATGTTTATGTTTTGTTCCTGTTTTGTTCATATGTTGTTGCTGTTTCATATTTTCAGAAAAAAATACATCTTTCCTGAGTTTGATTAATCTTTATTGCTGAAAATTGGTAAGTGTTATGTGTTATTTTATTATGCCTTCCAAGTGTTTGATGTTATGCCTAAAGACTAGATCTAAACGTATTGGGCGGCATAACAAATTTCCAATGGATTCCAAGTGTTTGATGTTTCATTTGAAATGCAATCTCTAAGAATCCAACATGTCCAGGTAATCACATAGTTGCATTTGGAATTGATTTGTTGACTATAATTTTCACGCAATTATCTATATACTCAGTTTTGGAGGTCAGAGAACTCAAGACTTATGAATCCAATGCATATACATCTTCTGAGCACACCAATGCCTATCAATATTTATGAATCCAATGCCTATACATCCTCTGTAAAATATCATTTATAATGGAATCTCTCTCTCAAATTTAGGTTTCTGCAACTGCTAAATAATAGTTGTTTTGTTTTGTATCTCATAGGGAACTGGGATACACTTTAGGTAAAGCCAAAGGCAAGAGGGGTAGATATAAGAGATGAACTCCTAAAGGGTGTTTATGAATTATCATGCCCAACTTTCTTGCATTATGAAATATGAATCGTTGGTTTACATTCTACATCATATGCCTGCATTTATATAGGGTTATATTCTTCAGTTTTTGGAAGAATATAAAGTTTTCTAGTAGTGTGAAGATCGCATCTAATAAATCTGATAATTTCTTGTTGCAGGTATCTCATCATTAATCGAATTACTCAATGCACCGAAGATACTTATCATCATCATCCATTCTCTCTCATTTCAATTCTCTGAACAAACTCCAATCAAATCCAACCCACCATTTATGTCACTCAAGAACCCTAACAACAGTAGACACAACCACAACCATAGATCATTCATATGCAGACATACCAAAACCTCCCAAGAGCAAGTCCGAGAGAAAACCCTACCCAACACCCATGAAAGTTCTTGTTCAAAGAGCCAAGCAAGAAAAAGAAGCAAGAAAGGCACAACCATGTCAATTACTAGAAGACCCCCCGGAAAATGGCCTTCTTGTTCCAGAACTCGTTAGTGTAGCCCATCAAGTTTATCAAGCTAGAGAATCGATATTACTCGGTTTATCAAAGCTTGTCAATGTCATTCCAGTTCTTCGATGCAGGTATAAATTAAAAAAAAAAAAAAAAAACAACTTTTGTCCTATTGTCGTTACTCTTAGTCCCAGTACAATCTGTTCTGTCATGTCATGTCCTGAATTGGTTTTCAGGCATTGTTTTGAGGTTCACATCGGTCAGGTCGGGCACGAGATCAGGACATGTGGCGGTCCAAAAAGCGGTCTTCGAAATGCTACCCACGTGTGGCGAAAAGGAAGGGTACACGACGTAATTTATTTTCCAAAATGTTTCCATCTTTATGATCGTGTTGGGAAGCCAAGAGTTATACATAATGAAAGCCGCTCCTTTAAACAACTTCCCGCCATTGTTGAGCTCTGCATACAAGCCGGATTGAATCTTGAAAACTACCCCACAAAAAGAAGAACAAGATCCGTGTATAGCATCGAAGGCCGGATTGTAGATTTTGAGGACACCCAAGTTGATTCTAGTTTGGATCTTTCTTTGAACAGTGAAATGCAACCCAAGGGCGATTTAGGGATTTGTGATTTGAATACAAGGGAAGTAAGTAGCATGGTGTTGGATTCATGGTTTGAGATGATATCTGGGGCGAAGAAGATGATGGAGAGATATAAAGTGCATACGTGTGGGTATTGTCCCGAGGTTCAGGTGGGTCCCAAGGGGCATAAAGTTAGGATGTGTAAGGCGTCAAAACATCAGTCTCGAAATGGGATGCATGCGTGGCAGGAAGCAACGTTTTTTGATCTGGTGGGACCGAACTACGTGTGGCATGTTGCTGACGTGGCGGGTGGGGTCCCACTTTGTAATGATTTGAAGAGGTATTATGGGAAGGCTCCTGCGGTTGTGGAGATGTGCGTGCAAGCGGGGGCACGGGTCCCGGATGAGTATAGGAGTATGATGAGATTAGATGTTGTTCCTCCGTGTCGTGATGAATTGGATCTTGTTACATGATGAATTCGATTTAAACAGGTTTTACTTTGGAGTAGGGAGTTGATATGTGATGTACTAGTAGTTTTTATGTCAGATTAGATTGGTAGATTTTTATTTTTATTTATTTTATTTTATTTTATTTTATTATTATTTTTTTTTCTGACCACTGGTCTTATGATATTTATAACCTGTGAAAACTAGACAAAATAGATTTGGATCAAAATCAGCTTACGTTATCTGTACTATAAGCATAAATTCATTTTTGTAAATCAAGCATATGAAAACTAGATCCCTATTTTATATATTTTATAATTTTAATAGGATCTAAGGTGAATTAAATTGATAAAGTGATATGACCCCTGTTTTATTAGAGTTGTAATTTGATGTCATGTTAGTTCTCACATAACGTCGGGTAAAACACACGTGACCCTTTAAAATACTAATAGGAAAGGACAACACATACCAATCTCAAACTCCAAAACTAAACTATTTCTAAGGTGGTTTGGTTTTAATATATATAATATCATTCGGTTTAAAGATGAGATATATCTTTGAGAAAACGTAAGAATGATCTTTGTGGCTGAAAAAAAAAACATTTAGACTTGTATTTGTGGTCTAAAATCGGATACATTTTGGTTTTGGTCCTTCTCACACTAAAAAAAAGCTATTATATTCATTTTAATTTAATATTTTTAAACTATTTATTAAATAATTAAAAATATAAAAATAACCCGCAATACTTTATCTTACACCATCCCATCACTCACTCAAGATTTTGTTTCGATTTCCTCTTCAAATATCCATATTAAATAATAATAATAATAATAATAATAATAATAATAATAATACAATAAAAATAAAGGAAAATTTTCATATATACCCTTCTTAAACTTCAAAATATCATATTTGACTAGCTTAATTTCTCAATATCATATTTACCCTTCATAGACCTTCAAAATATCATATTTGCCCAAATGTTTTTAATATTCTATAATCATTTTTATACCTTAGAATTATTATAATAATTAAGAAATTTAAGCATATTATCCTTACGTCTATTATAATGGAATGTGAACTTCTAAATTGTTGGAATGTCGGCCTCTTGACAGATAAAAAGATTCATCTTCAACCTTTTCTATGGAATGTATATTTTGATTGTTTCGTTTTTGTTATTGTTGATTGTTATTATGTTCTAGATGAATGATATTTTAAATATTACTATTGATATTTTGATGTTTAAAAAGTGCATATACGATATTTTGATATTTAAGAAGAGCATATATGATATTTTGATGTTTAAAAAGGACATATATGATATTTTGAAATTTTATGAAAGATAAATATGATATTTAGAAATTTTATGAAGAGTAAATATGATATTTAGAAATTAAGTTGGATAAATATGATATTTTGATGTTTAAGAAGGACATATATAAAATTCTCACAAAAATAAAAAAAAATTAAGTTTGAGAGGCATTAAAACTCCAATTTTCAATTTTAAACCAATGATACAAGGCAAATTCTTTTGTAGTAAAACCATAATTTTATTTATTTATTTTTTTGTAGTGAAATCATTTTTTTGGGTAATGAGATCATAATTTTTTGACAACCGATAAGTTATGGACCATTCTTGCATTTTCCTGTATATCTTTTGAAGGTTATATATTTTGACGATGGAAGACTATAAAAGATTAGACATTAATTCCGAATATAACTTTTGTACTTCGTTTCTATTACATACAACGCGTAACTTGCTCACATAAAATCATCTTATTTTTCACCTTCGTTACCAAATAAGAACCCTAATTTCACCCTCTTAAATCTTAGCATCCTCAATGATCATCCCTAGCCTTTCTATTACAATTGCTACGACGGTGAAATAAAGGCAACGACACATCCCCAGCGATAGAGGATTTCAAGGATTCCCCCAAGAGGTATGTCTTCTATATTTCTGTAATTGTAGAGTCCCGGATGGCACTTGCCTGACAAATTAGGGTTACAGTCGTAGATTTTTATCAATGGTCTTTCTGAGTTCGGTGTGTATCTGTGTTTTCACTTGTACTAATTGAATTATTTTTATCGCCAATTATGCAACGCACTCCTTTTTCGTTATAGAAGCATGGTATAGTGAACGAGCCAGTACACTGTAGCTGTATGTGGTTCAGTTTTTTAATGCTGCTATCAGTTTATTAATTTGTGCATAAATATAAACGAATAATGAAAGATGGAAGTGATTTTGTATACTGAGAATTAGTTGAGCTTTTCATGTAGGTATTTTTGGCGATAAAATTGCATCAGAACAACTGGTAGCTCAAAGTCTGATATTTATTGGAAGAGTTGTTGCTCTTTCACTGCTATGGAACACCCTGATGATGATTCCCATGGAGTTGGTGAAAACCAGAGCAAGCAAGATGATGAGGTAATAAGATTCTGGTGTATGAAATGTATAAATTTTTTATAACAAAAAGATGTGATGAAAGTGGTCATGTTGTTCTACGTTTTTAATGAGTATTGAAGTCAATTATGTCCACAGATCAACTCTGTTTATTTCTTGTTGCAGGTATCACGTCGTGAAGAATTAAAGAAATCCTTAGTAGCAAAATTGGCTCTTCGTCAGAGTAATTTGAATCCTGAAAGACCTGGTTAGTAGTCTTTCAAACTCCTTTTTTAAGCTTCTGTGAATTGATTATTGAAATTCTTTTTAACTTTTTTTTTCACCAGACTCCAGTGCCTTGCGAACATTGGACTCTAGCATCAAACGTAACACAGCAGTTATCAAAAAACTTAAACAAATCAATGAAGAGCAGCGTGAAAGTCTGATGGATGAATTAAAAAATGTCAACTTAAGCAAATTTGTGAGTGAAGCAGTGGCTGCAATCTGTGATGCCAAGTTAAAAAGTTCAGACATACAGGCTGCAGTTCAGGTAACTACCTTTTTCAGATTCTTCATCATCACACATTTCAATTTGAGTATTTATTTATTTATTTCCCTGTAAATCAGGTCTGTTCATTGCTTCATCAAAGATACAAAGATTTTTCTCCAACTTTAGTTCAAGGCCTTATGAAAACATTCTTTCCTGGGAAATCTTCAGAGGATGTAGACGCAGACAGAAACTTAAAGGCCTTGAAAAAGCGAAGTGCTTTAAAACTTCTACTTGAACTGTTTTTTGATGGAGTTATAGAAGATACTGGAATTTTAATAACCATCATTAAGGATCTTGCGAGTTTAGAACACCTAAAAGATAGAGACACAGCTCATACAAATCTGTCTCTTCTTGCTAGTTTTGCTAGACAGGCAAGGTACTTCATAGGACTTTCACATGCTGGAGAAGAACTTGTTGAAGAGGTGCATTTTGGTTCCAATATTGATTATGGATATTTTCAATATGGTTTAATAGTATGATTTAATGTTGATTGCAGTTTTTTAAGGGGCTTAATATCACTTCAGACCAGAAGAAGGTGTTTAAAAAGGCGTTTCATACGTATCATGACGCTGCAGTTGAATTACTTCGGTCTGAACACACTGTAAGTATTGGGAATCATTTAATACCTAACTGTTGTTTTTTCTGGATTCTGTTTGTAGTTTAAATGCAAGAAATAGCAACATAGAATCCTACCTTCATTTCTCTCTATTACAGTGTTGTAGTTTTGAAAAATTTACCTAGTTATAGCATTGTTATCCAACTACAAAACAATTATAATGAAAAATTTAAAGTATAGTGGTATTTATCCTTCTGTACATATGCACGGTTTTTTAATTAAATTGTTCTAAAATTGAAGTCACTTCGACAACTGGAGCATGAGAATGCAAAGATTTTAAATGCCAAAGGGGAGCTGAGTGAGGAAAATGCTTCGTCATATGAAAAATTACGCAAATCTTACGACCAACTTTATCGAGGTGTTTCTGCGTAAGTAAAAAAGTAAAATATTTACTTAATTTTTTTTTATCCTTTTCGACATAAACATATTTAATTTTGTTCAAAATTTTTGGTGAGATTAGGTTAGCAGAAGCACTTGATATGCAACCACCTGTGATGCCAGAGGATGGTCACACGAGGCTCACAACAGGTGATGATGTCTCATCTCCTGGTACTGGAAAAGAGGCTTCTGTTGCTGAAGCTTTGTGGGATGATGAAGATACAAAAAGTTTTTATGAATGTTTACCTGATCTCAGGTATGCAAATTGTTATAATACATTTTAAAACTAGAAAGTGTAAGAATGAGAAAAAAACACAAATTTTCTTGTTTTTAGGGCATTTGTTCCTGCTGTATTATTGGGTGAAGCGGAACAGAAAGGGAATGATCAGTCATCAAAAGCATCAGATCAACCAAGTGTAAGTTCTTTTAACAAAAAAATAGTAACAAAGTTTTCATATGACATGAAATAAATATATTATGCAGGACTCAACAACACCTGAGTCTGATCAAGGTCAGATTGCTGCCCAAGACACTGCAGAGACATCTGTAAGTGAGAAAAAGAAAGATGATGATGAAAAAGATAAAGGAAAAGAAAAAGAAAAAGATGGTGAAATAAAAGCTGAAATTGAAAAAGAGAAGCTTCGAGGTCCTGAAGGAACCAACTTAGACGGCTTAATACAGAGGCTTCCCGGCTGTGTGAGCCGTGACCTAATTGACCAATTGACTGTAACTCCTCTACTCTCCATAACATAAGTTTTCCTTTCAGATTCTCTCTACTTCCATTCTTTAAACTGTTTTTTGTTTATTATAATTACTTTTTTAAAAAAAATCAGGTGGAATTTTGTTATTTAAATTCAAAAGCTTCCCGCAAAAAACTTGTACGCGCTTTGTTCAACGTGCCCAGAACATCTCTGGAACTGCTACCCTACTATTCGCGAATGGTTGCCACACTGTCAACTTGTATGAAGGATGTCCCTTCTATGCTTTTGCTGTATTTGGAAGAAGAATTCAACTCTCTGATAAATAAAAAGGTTTTACTTTTTTTTCTTCTTCTTAATACACTTATGATAATAGCATATCTTTCAACTATACAAATCACTTATCCTCATCGTTAAATAAAATAAATACACAACAGGATCAAATGAACATCGAGACAAAGATCAGGAACATTCGGTTTATCGGCGAGCTTTGTAAATTTAAAATCGCACCAGCTGGGCTTGTTTTCAGCTGCCTAAAGGTACTAAAATCTGTAAAAGAAAGAAAACGAAAGTAAAATATGCTATAATAAGCAAGTCAATGAAAGTAAGTTGTTATTTCTTTGAACAGGCGTGTTTGGACGATTTTACCCATCACAACATAGATGTCGCCTGCAATCTTCTGGAGACATGTGGCAGATATCTTTATCGTTACCCTGATACTAATGTACGCATGGCAAACATGTTGGAGATTCTAATGCGTCTAAAAAATGTCAAAAATCTGGATCCTCGTCACAGTACTCTTGTTGAGAATGCTTATTATTTATGCAAACCACCTGAACGTTCTGCAAGAGTCTCCAAAATTCGTCCCCCTTTACATCAGGTAAGGTTATCACTTATTCATGTTTTTTATTTACTATAAAATTACATATTTACTGTTTGTTTTGTTTCAATACCTTTGCAGTATATCAGAAAGCTACTGTTTACAGACCTTGACAAGTCTTCAATTGAAGATGTATTGAGACAACTCCGGAAGTTACCATGGAGTGAATGCGAACCCTATCTTTTAAAATGCTTTTTGAAGGTTCATAAAGGAAAATACGGTCAAATTCACCTGATTGCTTCACTAACTGCTGGGTTGAGTCGCTACCATGATGAGTTTGCAGTTGCTGTAGTCGATGAGGTTTGTGTATTTTTACTTTTAAACTTGTAATTGCTTTTGATTACTTGTTTTTGTGTTCTGAGTAACTGGGGTTTTAATTTCCAGGTTTTGGAGGAAATAAGGTTGGGATTGGAGATAAACGAATATGGAATGCAGCAAAGACGAATTGCTCACATGCGATTCTTAGGCGAGCTATACAATTATGAACATGTGGATTCTTCAGTTGTTTTTGATACATTGTATCTCATTCTCATTTTTGGTCATGGAACAGAAGAGGTACAAATCTTTTTATTATATGCTTAGGGTTCAGAAACTAACTGATTGTTTTTAATTTAATTAAATGTCCTGTTGTTGTGTTGTGTTGTAGCAAGATGTGCTTGATCCACCTGAAGACTGTTTTCGCATTAGGATGATCATCACACTTCTGGAAACCTGTGGGCATTACTTTGGTCGAGGTTCATCAAAGAGAAAACTGGATCGGTTTCTGATTCATTTTCAACGTTACATACTCTGCAAAGGTCCACTTCCTCTAGATATTGAATTTGACTTGCAGGTTGGTTGGTTGGTTGTTTGTTTGGATCGTCTTTTAATTAAACTCACTTTTTTTTTTTTTTTTTAAATTTCTTATTTTATTAATAATTGAAGAGGAATGTACGTGTAGGATTTGTTTGGTGATTTACGTCCGAACATGACTCGTTATTCCACCATTGAAGAAGCTGATGCTGCTCTGGTTCAGCTGGAGGAACATGAACGGTCAGGTGAGAAGCACCACACAGAGCAGGAAAAGCCAAGAAGCATGTCGGGCAGCTCCTCCTCGGTCAACGGTCAGGTTGTTGTTGCAAATGGTATGGAAGAAGAAAACGGTGGGACCCATCATGAACTGGAATCCGACAGTGCATCTCAGGGCAGCACCATGGATCCAGACGGGAATGATGACGAGGAAGAGCTCGATGACGATGCATGCGACAGCGAGGATGATTACGCTGGCCCTGCTTCTGACGAGGATGACGAAATCCACGTCAGACAGAAAGTCATGTTGGTTGACCCCGAGGAAGAAGCCGAATTTGACCGAGAATTTAGAGCTCTAATGCAGGCATAAACCCTAAACCCTAAACCCTAAATCTTAAACCCTGTTTATTCAAACATTGACATGACATGTTATATACAGGAAAGCTTGGATTCAAGGAAGCTGGAGTTGCGGGCCCGGCCGACACTGAACATGATGATACCGATGAATGTGTTTGAGGGACAGGGGCATGGGAGTGGAAGGGTGAGTGAGGGTGAAAGTGGTGATGAAGGAACAGAGTATGAAGAGGGTGGTGGGCGAAAGGAGGTGCAGGTGAAAGTGCTGGTGAAACGTGGGAGCAAACAGCAAACGAGGCAGATGTTGATACCGAGTGACTGTTCTCTGGTTCAGAGCACTAAACAGAAGGAAGCAGCAGAGCTGGAAGAGAAACAAGATATCAAGAGGTTGGTTTTAGAGTATAATGATAGGGAAGAGGAGGAGCTTAATGCCTTGGGGAATCTTCCAGTTGGATGGAGTCAGAGTGGTGGGGGGAGAGTGGTCTACAGAGGCCACTCTTGGGAAGGTCATGGCGGGAGGTCTGGCTCCCGCCATAGGTATCCCCATCATACTGGCGGGGGATACTATTATAGCAGAAGAAAATGAAAGTGAGTCGGTATTTTTTCTAGCCCAGAGTTGTGGTCTTGTGGGGTGTATTGTGTATATTTTGTCAATATTTTACCCTTTTCATTTTTATCATGACTAGAGATGGGCGATGGGTAAAACTAAAACAGTCCAAAACTGAAACTGGTTATGAAGGAAGCATCGGGATGCTATAGTATCATATTTTGTTTAGTTTTAACTTTTAACAGATGAGATCGTAAGGATGCCTGTACTTGGTTTGTTCTCTTCATATTATATTATTATGTGTTCATAGTTGATTGATGGATGTTAACCGATGCAAAATGTTAATTGGGTTTTTGTTTTTTCTCTCCGTATATTATTAGACTATCTTCTTGAACTTTTTCATGAAAAAGCTTAAAATACAAAAGCTCATTGTATATCTCACAATAAAAAAAAAACTTTTTCATTTTGTTTTTTATTAGTAGTTTTTAAATGTTGTATAGTTTAATTGGTTAAACTATATATATATTATATTATTATGTGTTCATAGTTGATTGATGGATGTTAACCGATGCAAAATGCTAATTGGGTTTTTTGTTTTTTGTCTTTTTCTCTCCGTATATTATTAGACTATCTTCTTGAACTTTTTCATGAAAAAGCTTAAAATACAAAAGCTCATTATATATCTCACAATAAAAAAAAAAACTTTTTCAATTTGTTTTTTATTAGTAGTTTTTAAATGTTGTAGAGTTTAATTGGTTAAAAACAAAAAAGTCAAAAACTGAAAATGAAAAAGCATAGAGCTTGTTAATTAACAAGCTTAGAAAAAAACTTTGAATTAAAAACTACTAGGCCGTCCGGTATAGTTGCAACGGACGGATTTGTGGTTTAGCTATCCACAAACCACGACCGTGCACACCATCCCAGTGGCAAGTGGTGGTTCATGGTTGTGGGGAATCATAGTCGGGACAACGAATACAAACAGAAATGTGATTGGGTATTGAGTAACAACCATTTAAGGTAAAATCTTTATTTATTTATTTAAATTTTACTCATCAAACAACATTATACATTTTCTATAAATTTCACACCTTCATTTTACTCATTCAATTCTTTTCTCTTCTTCTCACAATCACACACTTTTTTTACTTCATAAACTAAAAGCCGATGGCTCCTAAAAGGATGAATTGATCAGAAAATAAAGAAGAGAACTTAGCATTAGCATGAGTAGCTGTTTCAAAAGATTCAGAAATACCTTCTAATTTTTGGGTAAAAGTTGGAAGACGTTTTCCATGATTTAATGGTTTGTCAAAGTCGTAATCTTGATGAAATATGTTTAAAGTTTCGCAACATGAGGGTAAAATGCCTTGAATTCAATGAGATTTATAACTTTGTTATAAACAACTTAGACGGAAATGACCCGTTTGTTGTGGCCATGCACCAATATGAAGACATGAAACACACGCCGTTTAAACACGTCAAAGTGAGAGAGTCCCCAAAATTTAATCATTGAAAATAAGGGTTAAAAACTAGTTAAAATTGTTTGTGGTTGCATTTTTATGTTTTTTTAATTATCTTCTTTATTTTATGTTTTAAATTAATGTCATTTTTTGTTTCGTTGAATAAAAAACTAATTTAAAAAAAAATGTTTTTATTGTGTTTGTGAATTAAATTTAAAAAAAATATGTTTTATTGTGTTTTAATGTATTTTTGAATTAAATTTAAATAAAAAAAAGAGGTGGAGTGATGTGTTTAGTGGTAGGTATCCTATGGTTAATGGTAGGGAGTGTGGTGATGATGTGACACCCACCACTATAGTGATTAGTTTTTAAAAATAAGTGGAACCCCTCTTTCCCTTGGACCCTGCTAGGAGCGCTGCCCCTTTGGAAACCCGGGACACAGGGGCGCTGCCCCCGGACCCCCCGAGTAGTTGTTGAACCAGCTTCTAATTTGATCTTATACATACGTGCACTCAGCACAACCCCCGTATATATATTAGAGTACAAATTATGAAGCTCTTTAGCTCAAATGTTAGTACCAGTTACTTAAAATGACATGATAACATTAAAATAAAAAACAATTAGTGGTAGATATAACGAATGATCTTACAATATGTTTTTTTATTTTCCAATAATTTTTATGTTTGAAAAAGCTATTATTATGGATGTTTTAGAGCATATGTCACACAAAAGCCTTTTCTTTTTGTTTTTCATTAGTAGTTTTTATATGTTGATTACTTTGTTAAAATTTTGTGGGTCACATACGAACTCGCTAGAGCTTCTTGAATAACAAGCTTAGTGAAAAAACTTTGAATTAAAAAATCTTTCACTATCTGTTTTCTTATTTTTTTAAAGTTTTTCAAATATTGTGGATGCTTTTAGTAACATTGATTGTAGTACTATTGATATCTACATATAACTATCCAGTGACGGATGCAGAACATTTTAGTAAGTGTGACACTAATTTTTTTTTTTCCGAAAAAATCTAAATTATTAGTGGTGCTAGTATTTTAAGCCGGTGTATCTTATAGAAAAAACATAATTTTTTTTACACTACGTGCTAGAATCGGAGCAGTGATCCGGGATCCCCTAGCTCCGCTAAGGTTCGTCAGTGTGACTATCCATCAACCAACAAGGACATTTATCATTTATGATATCTTAACTATGTATGTCATTGTAAGTCTTGTATGGTTAGTCTTTGTAATTTGAATCTTAGATCATATATGGATTTTTTTTAAAGTTTATTATTCTTAACTCGTTTTTTATTGACCACTTATTATCATTAAAGCATATAGAAGTTAACCATTAGAGATGTCATTTAATTAAAGATTTAAGTTAATGAAATGATAAGGTGAAAATAATGAAATACTCTTATATCTATATGTTTATAAAGTAGTCCGATAAATGTCGTTAAGACAACGCTAGATTAGACCATTTTATAACACTTTGAAAGCTTTTCAGGATTATTTAAATATTTGTTTGTAATTTTATATATTTAAATCAAAGTGATGTTTGTAATTATATTATAAAATGTTTGTATATTGAAATGATATATATATATATATATATATATATATATATATATATATATATATATATATATATATATATATATATATATATATATATATATATATATATATATATATATATACACGCGTTAAGGGTATTCTAGTCATAACGATAACAAGATAAAACAACTTTGAATGACTATTCGTTTTTTGACCGTTGGGGTTTGAAGAAATATAAAGAAAATATTTTTTTTACCTATAAATACATAATATCTACCATTTTCAATTCACACAATTCCACTCTTTCTCTATATTCTCTATAATTTCAAACTTTTCAGAAAAAAAAAAAATTATAGATCCTTTCAACTCGTTCGACGATGACAGTGACGATATATTCATCAATATGATGTATCAGTATTGCACCGAGTTACTACAACCTGAACCAACCATTCTACTAACAAGACGTGCAATGTTAAATAGAAATCGTGAGAAAGGACACGAACGTCTCAATCACGATTACTTTGCGGATAATTGTGTATACAAGTCAAAAGAGTTCAAAAAAAGATTTCGTTTTAGCAGGAATGTATTCCTACGGATTAGTAACGCGTTGGAAACCCGATATTGTTTCTTTAATTTTAATACATATTTACTATATCTTTATACAAAATAAATACAAATTTACTACATTTTTATTACAAAATTACTATATTTTTATACATGATTAATATATGTTTAGGTATAATTTATTTCAATTGAGATATGATGCTAGAAATAGGTAGGGATTCACAATATTGCATAAATGTGTTGCGGCCATTTGTTTGATGGCTATGGGCGAGTCACCTGATGCCATAGACGATTATATACGAATGTCCGAAAGAACTGCGAGGGAAAACGTGTTTAGATTGTCAAAATGTGTTGTTGAAACATTCGAAGATGTATATTTATGGAAACCTTGGTTGCATGATATCCAAGAACTTTATGCGACACATGAAGAGATACATGCGTTTCTTGGAATGTTTGGAAGCATTAATTGCACACACTGAAAATGAAAAAAATTGTCCGGTTGTAACAGCCCGGAATTTCAGGTATTGCTTTAAAACTATTTTTGGGGCATTTTTAGGAGGGGACTCGGCGAGTTGGTGCCTGACTCACCGAGTAGGACCACGGACTTGGTCGCAGATTCGCGACTGGACTCGACGAGTCCATTAGGGACTCGGCGAGTCGACGCGGTTCAGCAGAAACCCTAGCCGTTTGATTCTGGATCGTATATAACGTCTTTAGGGCCGTCATTGCTCGTCTTTTGGCCGATTGAGGATAACCTAAACGTCTGTGAGCATCTGGAGCAGGAGTGAAGGCTAGTGGAAACTTGAAGGATTTGTTAGACAAGAAGAGGAAGGGTTTAGCTAAAGGAACAGCAAGAGAATCACGTTCTAAGGATTGGGGACACAGAAAGTGCATCAATCAGGTAATATCTCGGATTTTGTTCTTCTGTGATTGATGTGTAAATGGAGTTAGGGTTTATAGAACCCATTTGATGATTAGATGGATTATTATGTTGTTACCCAAGTATTTATACCCTAGTAATAGGATGTTTAGAGGTCCAGATAGTCCCACGAGTGTGTATTTCGGGATCATACGTGTTTCAGGAAGCAGTTGATCGACTGCATGGCATGGACTCGCCGAGTCGGATGAGCAGACTCGGCGAGTAGCTTGAAGATTCACTGGGACTCGCCGAGTTGTTCTTCAGACTCGGCGAGTGGAGTCGGGGTGGCCCCGCGATTCTTCCACGTGGACCTCATCGAGTCAAGAGGGATACTCGACGAGTAGAAAGGAGAACAACAGGAAAATTGGGGTGGACGTCTAGACTCGCCGAGTCGCCTTTGCACTCGACGAGTCCGGTCAAGTTGACCGTTGACCAGAGTTGACCTGCATGTAATTTCGTAGGGTCAGTTGTCTTGTTTGATAAGATTATTAATAAGGGTATATGGTATTATAGGGAGACTGTAGATCGGCGGACCGAGTGCGAGTGGTTTCAAGAGTTTATAGTTTACATACTACGAGGTGAGTCTTCTCACTATACTGTACCCGGAAGGGTTTGACTGTGTGACCGGAAGGTCGGATATGTTATGTGTTATATATATGCTATAAT